TTTCAAATTTTAAGATATGCTTACAAATTTTTTTATTTCACTAGATATGACTTTTTTAATAAAAAATTAATAGTTAAAGTTGTTGTGATTATGTAATTAGATCTTTAATAATTTGTTTTTTTTAAAAGAGACAAGGTATTTTATGGGAATTGAAAACTTTATATTACCATTAAATTTGAGTCATGTTTTCTAATTTTAACGATTAATGTTAGGCAGTAAAGGCGAATTTTGAGTTGGTATTGGCAGTTGATAATTCCAATATACATGCTAGGTATTGGTTATCCAAATTACATTTGAAGCACCATGTTTTTGGGGTATGTAAAGTCATGTAAGTAACGTTGTTTACTTATATTTACATCTTGACATAATTGCTCAATTATTATATTGAATTATGAGAGCTAAGAATTCATATTTTTTCTTGATTTTCCCCCACTTTTATTGGCTACATTGATTGAAAGTATGATGGTTTAGTTGTTGATGCATTTGAAATTTTCAATATTTTTTAATCTCCATGTTTTTTAAATAAGACTCATGATGTTTGATTTTCATATTAACATTTTTTTTGCTTATCTCATCTGGTTTCTATTACATGTTAGATTAGATTATATATATGGATATGAATATTAAAACTAACAGCCTTATTAGGATAAATGAGCCACTTTGTTAGTAAAAGCTGTAGATATGGGTAATCCATATGCACAATATGAATTGGGTTGTCGTCTAAGAGTTGAGGTTAGGTTGTTTTTTGTTAAAATATTGTTACTACACTAGTTTAAGCAAATTGTAACTGCAGATATTGATTGAATGAATTTTTTTAGCAATACTGATTTAAGGAGATAGGCCTTGTGATCTGCTACCTCTACTAATGATATATTTTTCTTTATAATATTTTGGCTTTCTTTTTATAGACAGAATGACTATTCCCAATCACATCAACAAGCTTTTTATTATTTGAAGAAAGCTGTTGACTAGATAATTTCATTTTGAAGTTAATTGTATATGGCGTTTTTATGATATCTCTAAAAACCTTACTAGAACTCCTTCTATTATAATTGCATCCAAGTGTTCTTTACCTTCTAGGTGTTGTATACTAGACAAGAGACTGTATCAAGAAAGACATTGCTTTAGCGTTATGGTGTTTCCACAGGGCATCAGAGAAGGTAAGGTTACTCTTTGTTCTTATAACTTGTGGTTTTGTTTATCATACATGGATCTTCGATGGTTGGAAATTCTTTCATAGTAGTTAAAATTGGTTTTTGGATCTATTAAGCGAGGATTTGGTCCAAATAGATGGGAACCTCTTTAATATTATGTACTATAGCATTGGATTATATATATATATATATATATATGTACACATCTTTTAGATTGTGTAACAAGTCTGGTAGCAAAGTTTAAGTCAAAGCACTATTTTTAAATACGTATACAAAACAAGATAGTTATCGATTTTATATTCCTTTTTAAAATTTAAAAGTTTTAAGTATAAAGAACTTGGGGTATGCTTTATGAATGTTTGATAACTTTTGTCCAAATTATTAATTGGCAAAGCATTGAAAATTTCATTGATTTTAAACATGTTTTGTTTTTTCTTTTAAGAAAACAACTTAGACAACAATGCTTTCTGCCATTATAAGAGTGCTACTTTTATCTCCTAATTCACAGTTTGAGTGTTTAACTATTTTTTGTGTGTTTGTGACATGTTAGAAGAGAAACTTTTCACAACTTTAGGTTGTTTTCTAATTGCAGAATGAAATATGCATTAAAAACAAGGATAGTTATTGATTTAAATAGGTATATATTTCTACTTCTGGAATGTTTGGAACTTTTTATTTTCATTGTCTAATTATTTGATGTTGGTGAAAAGGGGTAGACTTCCTTGTTTAGTTATTTAGCAACTCAAAGATTGATTGAGTTGAATGAAGTACAATGTATAATACTTACTTCTGTCGATTGTTTTATTATTTGCAATTTTTAATTGCTTTGATTGCAATGTAACAATTCAACAATAAAATTTCTACTTTATCCATTTAAAAATTATTTTTTGATACAGGTAAAATTTCATATACTACAGGAATTGCTTGGGAGATTACATGCAACTGTAGCCAATAGTATGAGAAATGAAGCATACAAGTTACTATGGATGAACTAAATGAAGAGAGGCAGAAAGCATGCCGCATGCTGAAGAAAATGTTCAATAGATCTTTTGGGGCCACCTTCCTCACTAACAAAGGTTAAGAATTTGTTTTTGCCTATCACATCCATCGATATGCTGACTGTTTTGATCTTTTGGGTTAGTCTAATCGAATTTCTCATTATGATCATGTTTTAGATGATCAAATTATATATTTTAAATTTTTAATTATGATAAATAAAAAATCTTGTAGCGAAGTATGGGCATTGTTCTAGTATAATTAAAATTTATCATATTATCTCAAATTTATTCTATTATTTGTACTTTAAATGTTGTTTCCATTTTAATTATATCTTTTTATAGAAAATCTTAATTTTAAATTTTTAAGTGTTGGTTTCACATTATCAACATTTCTTTCAATCAATTAAATTTAAAAATAATTAAATATATAAAGTTATCTATTTAAAATAAAAAAATAAATTATAATATAAATTTGAAAATTTAAAAGTTAATTTTATTTCATTCATATTTCATTAGTTATGTAGATATATATTTTTAATTTTAAAATCTCAAAATTGAATAATTTTTACCTTCATAATTTTTTATATTTATTTATTTTTTAAACATTTTAAATTTTAAAAAGATAAATATCACTTATTAAATTTTTTAAATCCAAAATATATTTTTTAAATCCAAAATATATTTATCAATGTAAAAATTATCTATGCACTTAATTATTATGCAACAAACCTATAAATAATATGTGTTACACCATTATTTTTTTTTAATTTACAACTTTTCTTTGAAAGATATATTGTTACGTTTATAATTTTATTCTTATAAAAAATCTAATATTTATTTCAATTCATTTTTCTTTTAACACACATTTACTAATTTTTGTTTCATATTTTATTCAAAAGATCATTTATCACAAAGTGATGGTATGTTTATAAATGTTTATTGAAATTCTTCTATTTTTCCAATCAATTTATATTGAAATATAACTTATTAGAATATCTTTTTTCTTAAAATTGAATTTTGTGGATTCTTGGTGATTTTTTTTCCTGATTTTAACCTATTATCAAGAATTTTTTCTTTTACTATTTCAGAAATAGTTTGCTTTGTAACAAATTAGTTCTTGTGCTCATACAATTTGGTTTTGAATAAAATAAATAATATCATCTTTAGAGAAAAATACTTATCTCATTACTTGCTTCGATCCATGAATAATTGTTTTGAGTCAATTGATGAGGTATTAATGACAAAATATTGTATTTTTTAACTTCTAGTTTAAGATAAATTACTCAAGAGATGTTCAACTTAATTATATAATATATCATCACCATTAGTTTAGACTTTATAGTTATATACTTTTAATATTTTAAAGAATACTGTAAAATAATTCATAAATCAAACTATTCTATCTACCACTTAGATTTTTTTTTTTCATTTTTTATCATGTAAAAACATTTTTGGATTCTACATATTTCTTCAACCACTTTAGATAATTCATAATTCATCAATCAAACACTTTAACTTTTTTTTTTCATTTTTATTAAATCAAATATATTGTAAATATTTATGCATTTTTAAAAATAAAAACTTTAAGATCAAAATATAATAAATTATTTGTTTATAAATAAAAAATTAGAATATATTCTTTTATTAAGATAATAAAAATTAAAATAAATTGAAAAAAAAATTAAAATTATAAAAAATATAATAAAAAATCCGTGCATCACTCAAGTTAAAAAGCTAGTTTATAAATATTTTTATATTTTAATGTTAAAATTCAAAAAAATATTTATAGGAAAAATATCAAAAATATTAATTTTCTCTTTCTTTTAACATGTCACTTTTTATTTATTTAATTTAATTCAACCATCAATTTTTTTTTAACTTTTAACAAATGACAAGTTATCAATCTTAACATTTAACATCCACTTTTTAACAATATAAGATTATACCAAAAATCAAGGTAGACCAGTAATATTACACCAATAAAAAGTAAAATGGTAATTTTGAATAAATTTAACCCTTGTCTATAAGTGTATTTACTTTAGGAATAGAATTTGATATTTGTGAAATGAAAGAGTGTTCCTTTCTTGATATAATTCAAATCCAATAAGATTTTAAATTTGGAAAAAAAAAAAAGATTTGTACGTGAAACTTAAAGCTTATGAAAACCTTTAAGATTTTGATATTCAAACAGCAAAGCAAGTGCCAACTACTTTAATTATTCGTCTTTTCTTTTCTTGGTCCTAACGAAAGGAATGGATTGCTTTTTGTCAATGCTTTCAAAAGAATTTTGATAAGATAAAGTGAGGGACACAACCAAGAATAAAGGAGCTCTTTATTATATTATTAAAGCCAAACAAAGACGCAAAGAATATGAAAAAGCACTCTCACCAACGATAAGCATGACAGGAATTTTCTTTTGGATAAAGAATGATTCATTTAGTCAGATGAAAAAAGCGAAATTTTGTTTTATTAATCATCTTCCGTTATATCATAATTAGAAGTTCCTTTCATATTTAAAATTCAGGTTCATTTCATATTTAAAATTCAGGTTCATATCATTAAAATTAATGTCCCTGGTTCTTTGATCAATTGAGTTTTAATGTTTCCTCTAAAAAGTTCAAACTATAATTTCAAATAAACATTGAATATAATATGAATTGATTCTTTTATAAGATTTTCAAGAATGTTGGTATTTTACATTGTACCACATAAGTAAACATCCCAAGCAAGGTAAGGAATATCATCAAATGCTTTACGTGTGAAGGAGGAAAACATTGTTTCAAGACTACCTACCCCCTATAAAAGAAAGTGATCAGGGCTTCCTCAATCCTCACCCATTTATCTCATCTTTTCTCATTTTGCAACAATTCACATTTTCAGCTCATCTTTCTTTCGTTTTCTCTAGCCGTCTCATTTTGCCATTAACCATTGTCTCACTTTTCCCAATTCTGAACCAAAAACCCAGACTTTCACTTTGATTCTCCACCATTAGTCCATTAAAATATGGAATCCATTGTTAGCGGTGCTGCTAATAAAGTTGTGGAATACACGTTTGGTGTCATCAAACGTGGGTTTTGTTACATAATATATGTTGACAGCAATGTCCAGAATCTCAAGATGCAAGTTCAAAAACTGATTGATGCCCGAGCAAGTGTGCAGCAAGATGTTTATAAGGCCCAAAGGAATGCGGAAGAGATTTTTCATCATGTTAATAGGTGGTTGACTGAGGTCAATGAGAAGATCGCTGAGCAGGCTGCGACACAATCGAAGGAGGATGAAGAGAAAGCCACGAAAAAGTGTTTCGTTGGGTTGTTTCCTAATTTAAAGTCTCGTTACCTGCTTAGCAAGAAAGCAGAGGAAGAGGCGCAGGCTATTATTCAACTCCTGGGAGAAGGCAAATTCGAAAAAGTTTCGTATTCTGTTGCTCCAGAGGGGATAGTAATCAAAGGTTACAAGGCCTTCGAATCAAGAACAAGTGCCATGGAGGGGATTATGGAGGCCTTAAGGGAATCAAGTGTCCGAATAGTTGGAGTACACGGGATGGCTGGTGTAGGCAAGACCACCCTTGCAAAAGAAGTTGCAAGTAAAGTCAGGGAAGAACACTTATTTGACGAAGTGGCGATGGCAATGGTTTCACACAATCCAGTCATAAGACAAATTCAAGGAGAGATTGCTGACATGTTGGGGCTCAAATTTGATGTTGAGACTGATAGTGGAAGAGCAATGCAGTTACGGCAGCGATTGAAGAATGGCAAGAGGATCCTCATAATTTTAGATGACCTCTGGCAGAAACTCGATCTTGAAGCTGTCGGGATCTCATTTGATAATGAGGCCGCTCAAAAATCTTCTACTGCTGGATGCAAAATATTGCTGACTTCCAGAGGCCTCGATGTGCTCCGCCTTATGGATGCTGAGAGGAGTTTCGAAGTCAAAATCTTATCTCAAGAAGAATCAATGATTCTGTTTGCAAAAATAGTTGGTGACGCGGTTGGAAAATCTGATGATTATCAACGTGTAGCGGATGAATTGGTGAAAAAATGCGCAGGGCTACCAGTTGCTATTTTAGCAATTGCAAATACATTGAAAACAAGGGATCTCTATTTTTGGGAGGATGCCTTGCGGCAGCTGCAAAGATCAATTCCATCAAACATAAAAGGGCTGCAAGACAATGTATATTCCACTATAGAGTTGAGTTACAGATGGTTGAGCAATGAGGAAGAGCAATCTGTGTTCCTGCTTTGCGGCCTGCATCCTCAAGGTTTTGATATTCTTGTCTCTGATTTGCTACAGTATAGTATTGGTTTGGATTTGTTGGAAGGCATCAACACTGTGGAAGAAGCAAGGAAAAGAATTGATGTACTGGTTCATGAGCTCAAAGCTTCTAGCTTGCTACTGGAGGGAAAAGGTTACAAATGGGTGAAGATGCATGATCTCATTCGCGATGTTTCCCTTTCAATCGCCTCTAAAGATAAGCGGATGTTGGTCATAGAGGACGAAAGTCGTATGAAAGAACTATTGAAGAAGGGAAAACTCAATGACTGCACTGCTATCTCATTGCCATACAGTAATATTCATGAGCTTTCTGGTGTGGAATGCTCGAAACTGGAGCTACTCATGTTGCTGAATGAAGATTCTTCTTTCCAAATCTCAGACACCTTTTTTGAAGGCATGAATGAGCTGAAGGTGCTAAATGTGACTGGTATGAGTTTTCCATCTCTACCTTCATCTTTTCTTTCATTAACAAAACTTCAAACTTTGCTTTTGTATCAATGCAACTTGTCTGAGATAGCCATCATAAGGAATCTAAAGAAGTTAGATATCCTTAGCTTTCAGGGTTCTAGCATTAAGCAATTACCAGTAGAGATAGCAGAATTGACCGAACTGAGGTTATTAGATTTGAGTGAATGTTCCAGTCTTAAAGTGATCCCAGCAAACGTCATATCAAAATTGTCTAGATTAGAAGAGCTATATGTTGGCAAGAGCTTCGGTCAATGGAATGTTAAAGGAAATGCACAACTTGCAGAGTTGAAGAACTTGTCCTGTTTGTCTGCCCTACATTTATATATTCCTGATGCCCAAATTATGCCAAAAGATTTGTTCTCTGTGAAGTTGGAAAGATACAAGATTGCCATAGGAAACTTTGATTGGGATTCGTTTGAGTGTGAAGCTTCAAAAGCATTGCAACTTAAATTAAATACTGGCATTCATTTAGATGAAGGGATTAAAATGTTGGTAGAGAAAACTGAGGAGTTAGGTATAGAGGAATTCAAAGGGGCGGAGAATGTGCTTTATGGGTTAGATAGCGAAGGTTTTCCACATTTGAAGCATCTCAGTGTCGTTAATTCCTCAGAGATGAAATGTATTATTAAGTCCATGGGGTCGGCTCCGCATAAAGCATTTCCTGTTTTAGAGTCATTGAAGCTTAGCAGTCTAACTGTTTTGGAGAAGATTTGCGATGGTCAACTCAAAACAGCATCATTTAGCCGACTAAGAACCATACAAGTTAGATGGTGTGATAGATTGAAGAATCTTTTCTCAGTCTCCATAGCAAAAAATCTCTACCAACTTCAACAAATTAGCGTTAAGTGGTGCGAGAACATTAAAGAGATAGTTGTAAAGGAGGAAGGAAAGGAAGACAATGTTGTAGAGTTTCGACAGTTGCGCTCTTTGGAACTCGAAGATTTGCCAGAATTGAAAAGCTCTTATTCCATGGAGGAAACGCCTTCCTTAAGAGGACAAGGAGGAAGTGTATCGACCACAAATATGGTTCCACTTTTCAACCGAAAGGTAATTCATTTACTGATTTCTGATTAATTAGTTTGTTATTTGCTCAAAATGTGGTTTTGTTTTTAACTGTTTCCTTGAATATAGGCTTTCATAAATTCTTACGGTTGGAAAGAATAAAGTCTTGACCGAATTCCCTCACCTCTTTTTTGTCAACAATAAAATCATAATATAGGGACTTTAAAACAAAAGTCACGAGAAATTAAAAATATATTAATATTTTAGTAATAGCACTTATGCTTCTTAAATTTTTAAATTATAATTGAATCTTCAGTTATTTAAAGTTGTCCTAATTTAATCCTTTTATCTATAAAATCATTTAAATAAATAATAAATGCTGGCACCAAGTGAATTGTGTCAATTAACATTTCATGTGATAGAAAAATAGACCAAAATGAAATTTTACTTAGAATTTAGGAATCAAGAATGCTACTATCTCAAATTTTTTATTTCAAATATATTTTTATAAAATATTAAATTTAAAATAATATTTTTATATTTTTTTATTGTAATATAATTTATTAGTTTAAAGTTTTTAATTTTTGATAAAAAATAGATATTTCAAAATTAGAACTAAGTTAAAAATTTTAAAATCTTTTTGAAAATATTCGGTATCATTTTAAAAACAAAAAAACTATTTTATATTGAAAATATTATTTTAATAATAAATCATAGTAAAAAATATTATTTTCTATCAAAAACATCAAATATATTTTTCTTTTACCTTTTTCCAATATATTTTATAAAAAGGAAAAAAAATAGAAAAATAAGAATAATTAAAGAAAAAATTGATTTTTTACATTTCATATATGTTTTATAAATTATTATAATTTAAAATAATTTTTTATTGTGATATTATTATCAGTAAAAACTAATTTTAATAGAAAATATTTTTTATAAAATTAAAATTGAGTCGAAAATTTGAAAATCCATTTCAAAAACCTTCTATATCATTTTAAAAACTTAAAGAAAAATTTTTATATTAATTTAAAAAACTATTTTTATTAAAGATTTTATATTTATCCATTTCTATATCATGTCATTTTAAAAAATAAATTTATTAATTTATTAAATAATCTATTTTCTATCCCAAAAATATTTTAAATATATTTTCATTAAAATTTTATATTTATATAAATTAAAAAATATTATTTTCAATAATTTCTTCTCTTTACTAGATTAGAGGCAATAAGGTCATTTTAATTGTCCATTTTTTAATTGTTTATAAATATAAAATTTTAATAAAGATTAGATTCAAAATATTTTTTCCATAAGAAAATATTATGAATAAATTAATAGATCAAATTTTTAAAATGATTTGAAAAATGATATATTTGATTAACATCTAAATTGAAATAGAATATAAATATAATTTTAATTATTTCATTCATCAGAAAAAAAATTAAAAAGATACTTCATATTACATATTTTGTACTTATTTTTACCTATTTTACATATAAAAACTATTAAATTGCATCGCATCTTATTTTAATAAATATATTTGGTTGATTTTTCTTATTTAGAAATGATATTATACTGCAAGACCCATTGTGATTAAGAATATCATCAATTCTTATACTTAATAACTGAACTATTTCAAACAATAAAAATTACTTGAACAACATAATAAAAAATGATAGAGATGAATGATAATTATGAAATATTTTAATAAAAATTAGTTTCTCCTTTCTTAATAAAAGTCATGTATTAGATGTAAATGTGTCATATTTGAACACATCAAACAACTATCTATGAAAAAATATATATATATATAAATAATTATTAGGTTATTAGTTTAACTTTCACAATTTATTCTTTTATGGTCATATTGGTTCTTTCATTTTTAAGCTTTTAGGGTATTTTACATGATCATTGGGCTAATATATTTACTCTAAATTTTTTTTTTTTAATTTTCCCTAGCAATTGAAAAAGGCTAATTGATTTAAATTTTACATTTTCAACTTGTTCATTTAAATTAAAATAATATCTTATTATGTTTGTTTTTGCACTCTAATAGGTTTATAATTATTTCCATAGCTTTTTTTTAGTTGATTACAACACTTTTAATGCATTTTAGGTCAAATGTTAAATGCTTTTATTATCCTTCTCACGAGTTTATGTTAATATTTTCAATAAATTTTTTTCTATTAGGCTTATACATTTATGTAAACATTTAAATAAGACCAATTAATTTAAACTCTATGATGCTAATATATTTGTTTACATTAAAATAACCTTTAATTACGTTTGTCTTATCCTTTATTATATTTATAATTTTTAAAACTTTGTTAATTAATTATGATACTTTTACCTTTTTATATCAAACGTTACTTATTTTTATTATTTTTTTTCATATTTTTATGTATATTTTTTAAAAAGGTAGAATTGTATTGAAATAGTGAATGCAAATTACGATTCTTAATTTGAGACTTTGAGTAGATTTTATATCATTGTTCAAAATCAATCATCAATATTACATTTTATATTAATTTTTTTTAATATTTGAATAATAATTAAAGAATTGTTGATTTTATTATATCAAACATATATGTATGATTATTATTTGCAGGTTATTTTCCCTGTCATAAAGGAGTTGGTATTAAGATCAATGAATAGCATTGGAAAACTATGGGATGATCAGCTTCTCACTGATGTAATGTTTTTTGGTTTTCAAATGTTAACAATTCTGAGTATTTACAGCTGCCATAAATTGAAGTATGTATTTACTTCCTCAATGGTTAAAAGCTTTGTGCAATTGAAAACACTTGATGTTGGAAATTGTGAGGAAATGGAAAAGGTAATAGCAGTCAGTGCAGAAAAAGAAAGAAATAACATAATGGTGTTCCCTAAACTTGACTCCTTGCATCTCTACGATCTTCCCAATCTCAAAAGATTTTGTTGTGGAATTAATCCAATTGAATTTCCTGTTCTAAGAAGACTAGAGATAGAAAAGTGTCCAGTTTTGAGCACATTCCACTGTGATTCTAGTACAAATGTTGGAAAGAGTAACAATAGCATCTCAATGGGTCACAATCTCCGAATTGATGTACCACACTGTCTATTCAACGATAAGGTAACCTTTTATTTTTTTTAACATCCCTCTGCATATAGTTCTAGATTAATTTTCCTATTTATAACCTTAATATTGAAATTAATTTTTCGTATAATTTCTAACATTCAGTTGATTATCCATATATTAAGCAAGAAATCAATCCAACTGAATGTTAAAAATTAATTTTTCTCGCTTAGTAAATGGTTTAAATTAATTATTCAACTGAAATTAACACTGTAAGAAACACTACAATAAAAAACCAAGTCAACAAAAAATTACAAAAGAAAAAGCAAAAAAATGTAGAAAACAAAAAGAAAGGATTTAATTAAGGTTTCAATTTAAGCCATTTTGAGGGGGTTGAGCATTCAAAAGGATAGGAAGAACAGGAAGAGAATGAAGACAGTTCGACAGGGGTGGCAATGACAATCTTAGAGTTTCATTTTTAGGGTTTCGTTATGAAAGTTTTTAAGGTGATTTTGAAGGAGGATGATAGAAGAAGGATGGAGGAGGCGATCTAAGATAGTTTCAGAGTTTTAAAAAAGAAAGAATGAGGGATATCTGTAGAAAAAATTGAGCTTCGGGATTGTAGATCGATTATTTTTGTGTATTTTGAAAAAAATAACTACACAAATGGAAAAGAGGGAGCTAACAGGAGTCGATAAATTTTTTTTTTTTTGGGAAATTGACATTAGAGACGGTATACAACGGCGTAGCAGAGGAACGACCATAGAAAGTCGAAACCTAGGCTTTGTGGCTATCTATTTTCTGCTGATAGGATAGAGGCGGCAAAAACAGAGAGAGAAAATGGGGAGGGAATGAAGAAAATTAAGTATCCCCCATTTTAAGAATAAAGATTTTTAAATACCTTATTTTAAGAAAAAACTGTGAAATAATGGATATCAATCGCGTTTCTTAATTGGTGTAAAATTCATATAATTTTCAATCAATCATTAATATTGTATTTTTGTGAATGCATTTTAATTTTTGAATATTAATTAAGGAGTTCCTGATAATATATTAAACATATATGTATGATTATTATTTGCAGGTTGTGTTCCCTGTCATTAAGGAGTTAGTATTAGAATCAATGAGTAGTATTGAAAAACTATGGGATGATCAGCTTCCAGTTGCCGAAATGTCTTTTGGTTTTCAAAATTTAACAATTTTGGAAGTGCTGAGGTGTCACAAATTGAAGTATGTATGTACTTCCTCAATAGTTAAAAGCTTTGTGCAACTGAAAACACTTAATGTTGGAAACTGTGAGGAAATGGAAGAGGTAATAGCAATCAGTGTAGAAGAAAAAAGGAATAACATAGTGGTGTTTCCTAAACTTGACTTATTGTTTCTCTTCAATCTCCCCAATCTCAAAAGATTTTGCTGTGGAATTAATTCAATTGAATTCCCTTTTCTAAGGAACTTTTCAATAAGTAGGTGTCCTATTTTGAGCACATTGCATTTTGATTCTAGTACAAGTGTTGGAAATGAAGCAAGAAAGAGTAGCAGCAGTAGCAGCATTTCAATACCAAAATATCTATTTGATGAAAAGGTATTTTTATTCTTCTCTTTTTAATGTCCCTCTACATTTCTCTATATCAATTCTCTTTTGAAAATCTTGAACTTATCAACCTTAATTCCTAAAGTCCTGTATGATATTTAAATAAATAAAATTAATAAACCAATTGATTTTTAATTCAATAATAAAATTAATAACAAATTATCAAGTTAATAATATTATACAGTCATCGTGGAATGTCAATTTTTGAACCCTGCATAGCACATAAACGTGATGAAATATATATAATCCTATTGCAAGACTATATTTCTCTACAGGTGATTTTCCCCCCTCTTTCATGTTATATTTTCTTCAAGTCTACTGTACTTTTTATATTAATTAATTCTCTTATATATATTTATTAATTTTAAGTATAAGTGAATGATAACAACTAATTAATAAAATTAATAAGTTAATAACATATAACTAATAACAATGTGAACATTTTTTTGAAGAATCTAACAATGGAAATGCTATGAACATGTAATTAATATTACTATCATTAATATCGAAATGAAATAATTAATTCAATAAATAATTATATTGATAACTTTACAATGAAGCAATTCTATCAGGTTAGTTTCAAAAAGTGAAAATGGTAGCCTTTCCTGGGTTTAAAAGTTCTTATATACTCCAATAATTAGTTGATAACAATATTTTAAGTAAAAACCCTTAGTATATGACTTAATACTTATTTTTCTCAGTGATGATTTGGTATGATCACAAATTATCAAAGTAAACTGCAAGTTTATGGACAATCAATTAATCATGGTCATTAGAATAAAAGAAATAATTTTAACAAGGTTTTCACTCTAAAAGCATGTAAGTGATGATTTAATTGTGATTTGTAAGTTAACAAGCTAAGTTAACATAATTTTTATTTTTAAATGTATAATTTTGATTTACTAACAATTTTATTTTAATAAAGTTTTTAATCTAAAAGCATGCAATTTGATGATTTAATAGTGAGTTAACTTGCTAGGTTGACATAATTTGAAAACTTAAAAATATAAAAATTCTTTTTTCCTTTATAAATAAATTATGTAATTTTTACAATTATAATTATGGAATTAAGGACTATGTCAATAAATCATTTACTAACGAATTAAGGAATTTAAAATTAATAAGATACAACACTTATTAGACAATTTTCCAAAGAATATATTTATATCTCTTGAGTAACTTGTTCTAAACTTTTTTTAGACTTCAAAATTAAAAATGAAATGTATTTATATTATTAAATATTTTTATTTGAATGAATTAATTTTTTATTTCATGAATAATCAATCATTCAGTGTAAATCATATAAAAAAATCTATCATCAAGTTCATATTCTTATAGAGAAAGAAAGTAATGAAGACCAATTAAAATAAATAAAAATTTTAACTCAAATAATTGATAATCCAAAGTTATCTGTATTAGTTCTAACATTCTAACTTCATATGTTAGCATTATATAAATATTTATTACAAAGTCAACTAAAAGTCTTATGCATTTTATTTATTAAGAATAATTTACTTAACAAAGAGCTAAAGCTAAATAAGGAAATAGATATATAAAAATTGATCAATATTTAACTTAACTAATAAGAGAACATCAATTAAGGAAATTTTATTTTAATAATTAATGAATTTAATATTAATAAGGAAATAAAAATTAGTTAGTATTTTTAATTTAATAATAATGATTAATTAAGAACAAAACATTTACATGTAGGAAGAAATTGTAAAAATTTCATAATTTCTTAACATTTTCTTTCCTTTGCTTGTGGTTATGTTTTCCAATATTATATTTAGTTACTAACGCAACATTCAAATAAATTTTGTATGTATATATAGGTGGCACTTCCTATGCTACAGCACTTGCAAATTTGTTCCATGAAAAACTTGGAAAGGTTATGGCCTAACCAACTTGCTGAACAATCCTTTTCCAAACTAAGTTACTTTGAATTGGAATGTTGTGATAAGTTAGTGAATGTTTTTCCGTTGAGTATGTTGACGAGACTTAAAAGGCTTGAGAAACTAATCATATGGGAGTGTGAATTAGTGGAAGAAATATTTGAACCCCAACAAACAGCTGTTAGTAGTGTGGTTGCTACATTTGAATTTCCACGGCTGACGTCCTTGGACCTCGTAAGATTGCCAAGACTAAAGAGTTTCTATCATAACATGCATTTTACAAATTGGCCTTCATTGAAAGAGATGTATGTGAGTGAATGTGATAAAGTGGAGATATTGTTTGGTTTTCAAGAAACAGGTGGAGGAAAGAGTGAACATGAACTAATACCAATTCAGCGGCCCTTATTTTGGGTGGATAAGGTATGTTCTTAATTATCAAACTATGATAAAGGTTTTTTTCTCATTACTTCATGAATTCTTTTCCTTTCTTTTCAAAGATAATAGATTAATTTTGTTTTACTAAAAAGAAACATCTTTTTGAATCTTATCAACATTTTATTTACACCTAGACAGCATTTATGATAGATGAATTAACTTTCTTAATATAAATTATGTAACAAAACTTTGAATTATAACAAAAAGTTAATTAACCTATTAAAATTATAATAAAGGAAAACAGTTATAGATATTATCTACATAAAATATTATAAAAAAAGTTAAAATAAAACACACTATTTTATTTTTGAATTCCGTACAATAAATATTATTTTCAAAAGATAAGAACTTAAATATAATCTAATACAATTTTTCAAAACGTAAATTTTCACTTGAACAGTAAAATTCTAATTTTTATAAAAATTCATGTGCATCAAAGGTTAGCATATAATAATAATATATAATAGTAATAATAATAACTTCATAGGAGGATTAATTAGCAAAAATAAGAAAATAAAAAAATTTATATCTTAATGTACCGCATAATAATTAAGAAAAAAATTGCTTTCAACAAAGGAAAAAAAACTAATCAAAGTACAATCCCCTTGCTCAATTACATTTAAATAAAATTATTAAAAAATTTTACTCAAATAAGGAAGATGAGAATATATTTTGAATACAGATTCACTTATATTTTTCTATTTTATATAAAAATTAAATTTATAATTAATTTAAATTAAATAATATTTTAATTTTAATTATTTAAATTTAAAAATAAAAAATAAAACTTACATTAATATAAACAAATTTCTCATTTTATATTTTATATATAAATTAATTTTTCTCTTGATATTCTACTGTCTTGCAATCGTAGTTGATTTTGGACAATGCAAAGCGTCCTCTGCCTTTGCCCTTTAACACATTGTGAATTCTGCAGTTTACGTTCCCAACTCTACAACAACTTTCTTTGGGATGGAATGATGGGATGAAAGAGATATGGCATTGCTCTGCCCAACATCAACTACTTGCATCTCACTACTTCTCCAAACTAAAAGTTGTCACACTTTATGACTTGCCTAAACAATTAGCCATATTCCCATCTTACTTGCTCCATTTATTATACTTTCCCAATCTTGAAACGCTTGAAATAGAGAGAGCCTACTTCAAAGAGATATTCCCAAGTGAAGGAGTTGGTGAGGAAAAGCCTACATCTGCATGGCTGCTACTCTCTCGGTTAACTGAATTAAGGCTGAAAGATTTTCCTGAATTGATGCATCTATGGAAGGAAAAGGAAAGGTGTCCCAAATTAAAATATAGTTTAGTTCCATCCTCAGTTTCTTTCCATAATCTGGTGACTCTAGAAGTTCAAGGATGTGATGGAATCATAAAATTAGTTGCATATTCCACAGCCAAAAGCCTAGTGCAGCTTAAAGAAATGAAGATATGCTTGTGCGAGAATATAGAAGAAATAATACAAGGTAGCGGGGATGATGAAGATGAAGTAAAGGATGAAATCAGTTTCCCCCAACTCAACCTTTTGGAACTTATTGGGCTATCAAAGCTAGAAAGCTTCTGCTCATCAGGGAATTATACCTTTGGATTCCCATCATTAGTAACTGTAATTCTGGAAAATTGCCAAAAGATGAAGATGTTTTCTCAAGGAGACTCAAACACACCATTTTTGCACAAAGTGCGGTTACAGAAATGGGAAAATGATGAACGTTGGGAAGGCAACCTTAATAGCACCATACAGCAACTGTTCAAAGAAAAGGTATGTTTTCCCAAATTTCCTTAGTATTTTTGAAAAATTCAGTCATCAACTTTGGAGTTGGATTTTACATTTTGACTACTGACCATTAAGTTCTCTAACTAAAACCAAACAGTTGGAATGAGAAGAACGATTTTTGAGGGCTAAAGTTAAAACGTCATCGGTTAATTGGGTCTTTAAAATTTAGTGGGTTAATCAATATTGTAGGTGGAAGAGCAAGAGCACGGTGAAGAGATAATTGTATTTTTACATGGAGGATGCTGTTATTATTTAGAATTTATTGATTTGTTCATTGATTTGTCACAGAATTGTTGATGCCAGTGATCCTTACAACACTGTAAATTAAAATTAATTTTTTTTTCGCCTTTTCACCAAAATTGCTGCTTCGGATAATAGAATGCCATTTCGGAAAAAGATGAAGAATCCTATGATATCATATATATATATATATATATACATACATATATATATATATATATATAATGGAGTCAGAATTCTAATATTAGTTGTTGTTGATGCAGAATTCTACCATAGAGGAAGTGCAGAATTACATTGAAGATCAAGACAATCTTTCAGCTTCTAACACCCAACGATCCAATTAAGTAAGCCAAATTTCATTCTATGAATCTTCAAACACCATTCATAGATATCTATACCTTTTGTTTCTTTTAACTCAAATGGTCCACCTTTTCTTCATTACTTGAGTAGGTGATTGATGCCTCCTAACAAGTTCATGATATATTGCAAAAGAAATTGTTTTAAAATTTATCATTTGAAATCAGATGGCTTTGATTTCGTTCATTATGATATTGATTCTTCAAAGTGCAACAAAAGTAAATTTTCGATACTTCTTGTTTTCACCTTTTTTAACATTGTTTTTTATCCAGTCAACGGAGTAAAAAACTCTAAAGAATCACTAATCCTTCAACTGCCAAGGAATTAAGTGAAAATTCTTTCTATGCATCTTGAGAAAGTATAGTTTTTGTCCATCTAATGCAACTGGTTTTTATGTCCTTTGAAGGTGCTTGCTTCATCACAAATTCACAAATGCAGGGGGTTCTAATTCCTATTTCCTTATACATTATATGTTCCATTTGATCAACCTGTAAATGGTCACAACTTCTTGCTTGAGGCTTTTATGTTTAGCTAATTATAGCTTGCCATGTATTAATTCGATCAACCTTTGAAGTGATAGCATATGTACTAGGTACTTCTCTATTTTTAATGATTTGGGCAATCTATTTTATGTTAAAACTTGAAAGAAAACTCAAGTCAGATTTATTCATTTGGACAAGTGGAAGCCTTATTGTAGACCTGAATTGGTGAAGTTGTTTGATTACAGGTGATTTTGCTACATTGACCCAATACCTAATTTTGGTGGATAGCTGTCACGTGGTCTGCACTGTGCCTACAACAGCTCGTGGAGGGGCGGTTTATCCATCCTGTTTAGAACATGTTCCATTCTACTAAAAACTTGTGCTGAATTCCATTTTGCCTCAGGCTATTTCCAGTTGTCCTACCATGTTGGTGACACTATTCAGAAGCATGATTAATTTGATCTTTTCACAGTGAACAAGATTTGTCATGTTGGAGTAAATAATTTAGTCCTCGGCCTGAAGTAATTTAAATGCTTATGTATGATTCACTTGATTTTTTCCCTGTATGATATGAGATTGAAATATTTTTTATCATCAATGTAGCAGCATACTGGCAGCGAGACGCAGTGCAAGTGCCCCTCACAGTTTTTTCATATGGTGAGGGCTTGAGGCCAAAAATATTTGCCTCACATCAAATTAAGAAGGTCGTCCTTGTAAAACTTTAGAGAAGGCTTACTGCTTTCATTCCATTGATTGAAAATATATAAAAGTCGGAACACTTTTAGCAAGGATCTTGGTCCTTTGAAATACATTATAGACCAAGAGTTTCAAAGATTGATGTTTAAGATGTTGGCTTTTGGTAAAAGGAACACACTCATTTTTCAAGTACCAGGGTTTTTATTAACAATAGACTGAAGTTTTGAGTTTGTTCATGGATTTAGGAAGAAAGAGTTCATCAGCTTATGTAGTGGATATATAGGTCACAGGTTTGAATCTGAGTGCTGGTGGTACTAAATTTGACAAGCATTAAAATGCCTCTGGCGGAACAAAAGACCAGAAGAAAATTAGTAGCTCTCAAACATTCTCTGCTTGATGTTTACGGTCGAATAAGAATGGTGAGTGTTGTGATTCAGTTCAGAACGGAATTTGACTAATGATTCAAGCTATCAGCTTCTTTTCTTAATTTGGGTACTGGAAGTTAACAAGGTTATGGACTTATATGATAGAAAATTAACTGATTCTAGGCAAGTATTAACAAATTGGCAATAAGCTTTTCTTGGAAATGTGACCTTGTCTACTGGTATCTCAGCAGAACATGTCAGTGCCGTTCAGTAAATTTGGAAATGAGACAAAGCCAAAACCTTGAAAAATGAATTTTTAACATACCTGTAAAGGTATGTTGTGATATTTGGTATCTACATCATATACATGAAAACTGGAGCAGGGGAGAAAGGGGAGGAGCCTAAGTGCTCTTACATTCCACACACAGACACACACAAAACTACTGTATATCTCAATAAAGTATATCTAAAAGATGTCGCCGCTTAAGAGTGTCATAATATATAGATTCGAAAATCTATAGCTAAACACAAACTAAAAAGTCATCATTAATTTTTTTAAACTAAGTGTGATTAGTCCCTTAAGGAATTTATCTATCATTTTAAGGAGCTCTTAAGCTTGACTAAAGGTTCCTAAAGAATAAGTTCTGACCTTCTGAACAGAACTAGATTTAGGAATTCGATTATGTGTAGGAAATGTTATAGCACCCCCACTACGCTCATCCTAAGATAGTACCATTTAATTTTAAATTATCTTAACAATTATTTTGGTTCTAATGGTTTTAAATTTTAATGTTTGAATATTGAAAATGACTTCTAAGATTTCTCCATTAATCTAGACAAATTTTTAAAATATTTTCTCACCTCAAAAGTATTCAAGAATCTCATTTGTTTTCTTGAAGAGGCTTCGTCGTCGGAAAGATTTAATTATTTTTTTATTGAAAATATATCTAATTATTCTACAATTTGGATCAAATTAAAAATATCTTCTCTTTTTTTTTTTTAATTTTTAAAATTTTCATCATTTGGAGCAATTTAAAAATTTTTGCATTTATTAATCTTTGGAAAAAAAATAACATGATAATTATTTTTTATTAAAATTTTATCTAAATTCTTTCACCATTTGAGACAAATTTAAAAAAATTTCTCCCCTAGAGATTTCTTAGGAATTTACCATTAAAATTTCTAAAATTATCATTTTTGGATAATTGTCACATATTTCAACCAAAATTTTTTTATATTATATATATATTTGAATTAAAAATAAATATTAATTATTATTGAAATTTTATCTAAATTATTCAACAATTTGTAATAAATTAAAAAAAAATTTCTCACCTAAAAATTTTATAAAAATTTACTATTTAAAATTTTTTAAAATTTCATCGGTAGATAATTACTATTTATTCTCAATAAATTTATTTTATTAATGTTTTATATAATTTATTATTATTATTTATTTAATATCAAATAATGAAAACCATAAAATAGAGTGAGTAAATAAATAATTATGCATAAAACAAAATGAATAAACAAACAATTAAAGAATAAGAAAAGAAGAAGTACCATTTTTGGATGTTATGCACGTGGGCCCCTTTAGTGCTAGCTTATCAACTCACTTCTCTCTTTATTTCTCTTCTCTACCAGACCCCACAACTCTGATTCCCCTTCAAACATAACCCAACTTAAACCACCAAAAATTAACACTGCGATTGTTTGGAATTTGTTTCTATTGCAGATGATAATATATGTTCAATGGTTTAGGCATTCTGGTCAATAGTGGCACTGGGCTGGCTGTCAGTAAAAGTTGGTTGGCAATAGCCTGATGGTGTTGTTCATAGGGAAAGATAACAATGGGAGAATGCTTTCAATTGAGGCTACGGGCTGAGGATGATTTCAATTTGGCAATGGATAGTGAGGTGTTGGCTAACAATTGATTCTTAAAGAAGGATTTATCTTTGTTAATACTTACTGCCACCCCCTATTATGCTACACTTCTCTGTATTTTCTCTATTGATTTCTTATGTGTGATCTGTGTTTGGTGTAGAGCTATATTTATAGGCTTAAATCCACGGAGCCTCATACTCGAAAGAAATTCTAATTCCTTTCAAACTTTAATTCAACTCAACCTTTTTCAATCCATCTCAAACTCTTAAATCCCAGTTTTACACAAATTCAGCCACATATTTTATTTTTATTTTTTAATTATTATTATTTTTTAAAACAGAATCAAAGCCAAGTAGACCCCCAAAACGGATTGGGGTATCTACAACTATCCCTTTTTGTACATTTTCTATAAAACAAGAATTGTGCAAAGACATAAACAATCCAATCAAAAATCAACTCGACACATTTTTTTTTTTTTTTAAGCATACTTAGACTTCTAGAATAATATAAAAACTCCTCTAAGTGGAGGCTCCATAACTTTTGAAAATTAAATAAAACTCCTCTAAACAAAGGTTTAACGACTTTGAAAAAATAAATAAGGCTCATTTAGGCATAGGCTTAATGACTTTAGAAAAAAAATAAGGCTCCTCTAAGTAGAGGCTCAACAACTTTGAAAAAATAAATAAGGCTCCTATAAGCAAATGTTTAACAACTTTGAAAAAAATAAATAAAACTCCTTTAATTAGAGGCGTAACGATTTTAGAAAAAATAAATAAAGATCTAAACACCTTATTACATCTGGGCATGACAGCAATTACAAAATCTTGAAACTTTAAAAATTCACAAGTTGAAGTATTCAAAATTTTATAATTTGACATTTGCAATTGAAACTCAAATATTCACAGTTTAAGTTTAAAGAATCACAATTTTGAAATTCAAAGGTTCGCAATTCAAAGATTCATAAAAATTTTTAAATTTGCAAAGATTTCCTATTATTAGGCATTTGATTCTCAAAATTTCAATTTCACAGGGATTTCATATTTTTAAGAATTTTTAGGTTCACAAGAATTCACAAAAAATTGATTTTCAAAATTTTAGTTTCATAAGTGTAGACACCCATTTTATTTTTTATTTAATTTTTATCTTTTTTTTCTTTCTTCTTCTTTTGGCATCTTTTCTGCCAGTCGCCTGATATCCACCAACTGCCTCCTAACAGCCACTGGTAGCCATTTTAGTAGCCACCTTAACTTAGCAGCCAAAATCCTAGATCTTTTAGGATTTTGGTTTTGATCTGGCTTTATAAATAGAGCCAAAAAAATCAAAGCAAGAGGAAGGAAATAAGGGGAAAGCCTAAAAAAAAATCCAAAAAAAAAAAAAAAGCTTTCTGTGAAAAAAAAAAAAAAAAGGAATAAAACATAAACAAAATATACACAATCCCTAGAACGGGATATCAACACCAAAAAAAATAAAAAAAATCCTTTTGACTAAAATTTTGGGCCTCAATCTACGTCGTTCGAAGTTGTTTTTCGTGAAACAGAGGTTGGATTTGAGTTCAAGGAGTCAAAAATAATTTTTTAGGTATTTTTTTGGAATTTTTCTAGCACATTCAACTATGGTCGACGATGGCACTAGTGGTCGAAGACAATGGCCGGTGGCAATAGGAATTGTCGAAAACTAGAGAAGAAGAATTCTATGGGAGAGGAGAGAGAACGAAGAGAAAAGGAGAAGGAAGGAAAAAAATGAAAGAGTAGGGTGTTTTGGAGACTATTTATAATGAAATCAAAACGACGTCATTTTGATTAAAGTGGTAGCCAAGCTACCAAGCTTAACCAAGAATAGAGCCGAGCCATATATCCAAGCCAAGCCGATTAAGCCGTTGACTATAGGTTCAAGTCGGTTGATCGAGTTGTCTGAGCCATTTCGAACCTTTGACCAGTGTTGACTAGGGGCATTTTAGGTATTTTTATAGTAACTTTTTATTTTTTTATATATATATATTTTAATTTTTTTATATATTTCTATTATTTAATTTATGATTATTTTTATTTTTATTTTATTTTTGTATAAACTTTTCATATAAGATAAAATAAATGGTAGAAAATATAAAATGGTTTTAATTTAATTAATCTAAAATAATTACTAAACATAAACTTATTAAAATTTTAATGAAC